TGAAGGTGGCGCCGAACCTGAACCGGGCACCTGTGGCCTACCACGACAAGAGGAACCCCAAGCCCTGGCACAATCCTTCCAGGAAGGCCCCCCCCGGGGCCCCGGAGAACCAACAGGTCAGACATAGGCCGACAAGTAGCCGAAGCAGCCTGAATATACTGCACCACGGCAGAATCCTCAAAAAGCAGAGGACAAAAAGGCGAAGACATCCCAAGAGCCAGGGCCCAGACCGATTCCAAAGAGGAGGCAAGCACCTCCTGCCGACACGCGAGCTGGGAAGCATAGAACAGGGAAACCGCATCCCACAGGATCGGCGGAAACAGCCTCAGTAAGGCAGCTGATGAGCGGGCCACCGAGCCCAAGGCACCAGACCTAGGGACGGCGCCCCTACATCCTCCCCAAGCCAGTCTGAAGACAGCTCCAGGAGGGAAAAGAAACGCAAGGTCGAAGCCAATAGGCCACGGGCGCACATGTTCTCAGCAACTGCGCAGTCGAGAGGGAGGGAACCTGCACATGGAGCTGCATCATGCCCACATCCCAGGGAAGGGCAGGGGGCAAACAAGCACTCATTGAGGTGTTCCAGGCCACCCCCCAGAAAAACCTGAATCACTGTCGCAGCCTCGCACCACTCAAGCGTGCGGGTACGGCAGAATGAATGTCAAGCCTATAACGCAAAGACAGGACAGTTCGCCAGCCAGGACGACTCCGGAACCTCGTAACGGACTCAGAAAGAGAACGGAGTCCCAAACCTGAACGAAGACGGATCCATCACCAAGGCATAAACCGGGTCACGCAGGAGGTAAGCCGCAAGGGCTGCCCGCACCGCAGAAGGTAGGATGCGAGAAGCCGAAAACCCCCGGAAGGACAGAACTGACGCATCCGGGGAGACACGAAACCAAACCCGGGGAGGGGCAGACACCAAATCCAACTTGTACACAGAGGGGGAAAAAGAGAACCACACTCCATGTAATAACAAGCCCCGCTCAAAGGGTAGAAAACCCAGGCAGAGTCCAGCGGGGCCCAAGGCCCCCCAAGTCAGCCCCTTCCCCGCCCCGGTAGCCTCCTCCGCAGGACCCGGGGCCGAGTCATCTCTCAAAGCATCGGCCTCAAGAAACAAGGCCGGTGCAGCCGTATAAGCCAAATGGAAGGGGGGCCCACTGGTCAGACCCGGTGGCTTCGGCAGGGAGACTAGACTCAAATGCCTCCGTCGCCACACCGCAAGGGGGCATCCCCCGAAACGGCCCGAGCCTCAAGACCATCTAAACCCTGCTCCGGCTCCGAAACCCTCAGACGCTTTGGGGCCGGAAGCAGGAGATGGGGTGACCTGAATGAACCACAGGAGGGAAAGGACGAGGGGGGGAGGGTGAACTAAACCAAGGTCGAAGCGACCCCCACCCCCAAGTCCGGGTCCCTATAAGCAAAACGAGGTAGCCGCGGGGCATCTGGGTGAGCAACCAACCAAGCGTGTTGCAACAACCTAAAATGCACAAGCAACGCATGCGCCGCCTGTACCCTCATAAGATAATCACTAGACTGGGTAAATTGAGTCACTAGCAAACAGAAGAACTCACAGGACTCAGGGTCAAAAGTGTCACCGACCCAACAGGCAGCGTGACAGAGGCAAAGACAATGAGGGTCACCCTGAGACAAGGGGACCAAACAACCCTCAAACTCGCACAAAGCGAGGGGGGGACCCCGGGGGGGCACGGGGACCTAGCAGGGGGCACCACCAGAGAAGAACCGTAATAGGTCAAACACAAGTGGCCAAAAAGCAGGGCAAATCCCCCCACATGGCAAAAACAAAACCCCGCAAGAGGACAGCGTACCCTAGAGGAACAGAGCTGGTTGCTAATCAGCGAAAATAAGCTACGCAGCACCCCGCGCCCCAAACCAGTGCAAACTGCCTCTTACCCTAAGGTAAACAAGCGAAACAAAACACCCAAGTACCCAAAGGGCGGCCGAGAAACCAAGCAGTAAAACGGCCAGCAGAGACAGGACCCAAGGAACTTGTGGAAGGTAACCCCAAGCCCCAAGGGCAGTACTTACAGGACACCTAGGGAAGAGAACCCAAGGCTTATGCAGCCCGAGTACTGGAGAATAACTCCTGGCTCTCACACCCCTAGAAGACAGCCACCACACTCAAAGCACAGCGCTGAAACTATGTCTGGAGCCAGAGCATACGACCGGAGCCTCTAGCATCTAAGAACTGAAGGGTGGATAGCCGGCGTGTGGGGTCTGTGACTCCCCCTTCCCCCTCCCAGGGAGGGGGGAGCTGCGCAGACAGCAGCGCGATGATGTGCGACGTCATGATCGTTTGCTCGTTTCATTTAGGGGAGTTCTATCCACTTGTTTGGCTTTTGATAGCAATATTTTCACCAGAATATGGGTTTCTTTTGGGATGCTTACCTTTCTGGGTGCCTACCTTGAGGTTACCTTGAGGTGCTTCCGGGGCTTAGCGTCCCCGCGGCCCAGTCATCGACCAGGCCTCCTGGTTGCTGGACTGATCAACCATGTCAACCAACCACCTAATCTGGTCGATGGCAAACAGAATGCTTCCAACCACACGGGGGTTTCTATAGGCCATTTCTTCTTGCCTCTTCTGAGGGGGCCAAGTTCTGGCTCATGGTCCCCGGTAGGCCCATAGAACTCCATATACATGACTGATGCCAAAGTCTGACATTAGTATGTCAGCCTAGTAAGTTCTGGGGAGACAAAAGGGCTCCCCCCAGAAAAATAGTTAAAACTAAATGGGTAGATCACCTGAGGAGTAATGACATAATATCACAGACAGACAGTATGGTTTTCGAACAGGAAAATCCTTAGTAACAAATTTACTTGGTTTTTCTGATAGAGCCATTGGGATTCTACAGGAGAGATGGTTGGGTCAATTGTTTATCTGGGCCTAAAAAATAACGGGTTTTGACACAGTTCCACACAAGAGGTTGTTTTGTAAATTGGAGCATGCTGGCGGGGTGACAGGCTAACTGCTGACATAGAAGAAGAATTTTCTATCATACGGGTAGTAATGATAGGTAATGTATCAGACTGGAGAAGTGTTATTAGTGGAGTACCACAGGGTTCAGTTCTTGCACTAGTTATGTTCATATTTTATAAAAACACTCTACCAGAAAGAATACAGAATTATATGAACATATTTGCTGATGATGCTAAGCTACTAGGGAAGATAAAAAGACTTAAACAAATGTCATGCACTTCAAGATGACCTAGACAAAATAAGAGTATGGAGCAACACTTGACAATTGGAATTGAATGTGAATAAATGCTATGCTATGGAATACTGTAGTAGAAAACAGGCCTCCACACAACCTATAAATTATGTGGAAAGGCATTAAAAACTCTGATAAAGAATACATGGATGGTGATATATTAAAGAAACTGTTCACAAGCTTTGCGAGACCAAAACTGAAATATGCAGTGGTTGTATGGTGACCATATCTCAAGAAACACATCAAAAACTGGAAAAAATACAGACATGCAACTAAATGGCTTCCAGAATTGAGAAAAAAACAGCTAATAGGTGAGGCTAGCAGTGTAAGTATGCTAAGCTAGAAAATATAAGAAAAAGAGGCAATATGATCACTACATACAAAATAGTAACAGGAACTGAAAAAAGAATTCTTGAAGCCTGCAACTTCAAGACCAACAGGTCAAAGATTCAATCTATGGAAACAAAGATGTTGAAAATATATTACAGATGACCATTACAGAATAGTAGATGGTTTGAACAAGTGAAGAGGTGGTGGATGCCAGGACCATCAGTTGTTTCAAAGCATCATACCATGAGTACTGGGAAGACAGGACACCATGAGCATAGCTCTCATCCTGTAACTACACTTAGGTAATTACACATGCACACACACATTCATACACACACCTATCCTGTAACTACACTTAGGTGTATGCACACACATACTCACTCACACATTTATCCTGTAACTACACCTAGGTAATTACACACACACACACACACGCCTACGTGTGGTGGAGTGAATCCATCACCAGTTTTCCTTGGCAAGAAATATTTAAAAAGTTCTCCAGTATGTAGGTGCACAATATTGAGCACCCGTTACATGAGAGATCCTTTCCAGGGCGTTCAAGATCTTGCCTTAGGAAACAATCAATGGATTGCTTAAACAAATGTTCCTCACTGAGGTATATTACAATAATTCAAAATAAAGTTTAACATATATATAAAAAGTTTTGGAAAGGATTTTCAAAATGTTATAGAGAATGTTAGTCAACTTTTATCCAAGGTCAGATACTTTGGTAAGAAAAATCTAATTATCAATCTTTGTGGTAATGGTGATGCATTCCAAAACCTTCATGCCTTCTCAGCCACAACATGAGTCCATGCTGGCATTTCCAATATAAAAGCTCAAAATAATTTGACCAATTATGTAAAATACATTTTTTAAGAACTACATAGCAATCATTAACACAAATTAAATTTCAAATTGAAACCATAGAGGAACTGGACATTCACCACAATGATTTCATAAACTGATAATATTGGTATTAGTATCCATCACTAATCTTGCCTTTAAGACATCGTGCATGAAGAGGCAATTCTTTCCATGGGAAAAAAATCAAGATCTTAATACAGTACTACCAAGAAATAATCCAACAATAAAGGGGAAAATTAACAATTATATAAATTTTATGCAATTAAATGACAATTCACATAGAAAATGTACTAAAGAAAACTATTTTGATCACATACACTAATAAAAATCTTAAATGAGCAGAACACGACTAAAATTAAACTTATCTTAAGACGTCAAATCTATTTGCACACAAAATATAAATTTATTGGTCACAGTTACTACCAATTTAATATGTAATTATAGTAGTAGGGTAATATTCTAGTTAAAGCATGATAACATGCAACTTTTAATGCTCTAACCCACACTAAGCCAACCTTGGATAATCTACTGGCTACTGTTCATGCCTATACTATAAGAAGAAAACTAGAAACCAACATGTAAGTGGTTGTTATCAAAACGATGGATGGTGCTTGTTAGAAAACTGTTAGGTGGTTCAAGTGGAGCGCCAGGCCTCAGGATCATCCACCAAGATGGCACTCTGAGAGTTGGCAGGCCCAGTGTTCTGCTGAGCTGCAGCGATCATGTCTTCCCGACTTCCCCTAATACACAGTAGTAGTATTATGTCATCAACAAAATGTATTAATCTTAAAAGATCCATGCTTTGAAAGATATATTAATAGCTTGTTGTCATGTTGGTTGCCACTAAGCTACTACAGCATCAGAATTATATTGAAACACACACATAGGGGGGTGATAACTTATGGGGGAAGAAAAAAAAGTGCAGGGGAGGTTGAAGGAAGACATATGAATATAAACTGTATAACACACACAATTTCTATAAAACTAAAAATCCAGTGTTGAATGTAAAGAAATGCTTCTTTCTGGTGGGCCCCAGTCAATGGCTCCCTGTTGCACCAAGAGGCCACCGAGTGAACACTCCCAGAAATGTTAAGTGTAAAGACTGGAGTTACTGAAGCTAAGTGCATTTGTAAATACTCTTGAGCTTTACAGGCAGAAGTAGAAATGGTAAGAAGCCGATAGATTTATCTAAAACCAAACTTTCTGAATGTAATGAGACACCTTTCAGGGGGTGATCTCAGTGGTTCCTTGTACTGTACCTAGTTGCTCTGGTTAGCTCCATACCTGTCGAGTCACACTAGGCCCTTGCAAGTCGATAAAAATCTACGAGGGACCAGTGGTAGAGCAAAGCGAAACAGAAAGTCCTATTACTACCCCAGAAGCAACAAGACCAAAAAAAACCTGCACCGGTCAGGAGAAAGGAAGTCAAAGCAACCCCTCACACACACACATGCACAATCCCTAGAGAACAGAAAGCCACGTAGGACAGGAGAGGTGCAGAGGGTAAGGAAAGTAGGACATCTGCCTTGCTGGCTCCAGGGAAGAAAGGAACAACCATCCCACAGGCAGCATGGTGGCAGCAGTAATATTGACCATTGGCATGTAGCAAACCCAATGATCACATCTTAAACTTATAATTCATGAGTGCATGCTCAGTAGGCTGGCTTATCCCGAACAAACACCAAACACTGCTGGGCTTCACATGAAGATCAAGAACATGCAAAAACTACTAAGTCTTACCAATAATAGCCTCCCCTCACACATCAACAGCCCTGTATAGTGCCTAAAAAGGCAGTGCCAATGGAATTAAGACCAAAGAGTAAGGGAATGAAATGGATGACCAGGCTTGCAGAAAGAAGTTGGGGGCACAGAAAGAAGGGAATAAAAAACCCAAACCAGACAAAGAAGGCTCAGGAGAAGAATTGCCCAGCTGCTCACCTGAGACAAAGATACTCTCAAACAAGAAAAGCCACACAGAAGTACAATGTTGAAGCCCAAAACACCAAAGAATGGTGCTTGACAGCCAAAACTACCAATGAACATCTCCGTACAGATCCTTTGGAGAAGGCACAGCCCGGATAACACCTGGGTCTGGACACCAAGCCATAAGGCCTAGAAATCAACACTAACCTAACCACTAAGGAAGGGCACCCCACTGGCCCTATTTGTAGACACAATGACTATCCAGGAACCAGGAATTAGTGGACCATTCATATACATATGGGAAAACCTGTGATGAGGAGGAGCCACTTTGTACACTTGTACTTTATGTTTATACAAGTCATTTTAGATAAGGACCCATCCAAAAAATGAATTAGGATTCAAGATGATGGCTATTTTTCAAAAAGGTGGACTAAATCTTGAAATTTGCATATACATATACAGTATGGGCATTTTAGGTGCCCTTTCATATTTTCTTTTTGTAAAAAAATTAAATGAAACTATTAAAAACATGCAGGCGATGAGTCACAATAACGTGGCTGAAGTATGTTGACCAGACCACACACTAGAAATTGAAGGGACGACGACGTTTCGGTCCGTCCTGGACCATTCTCAAGTCGATTGTGATGAGGACAGGTAGGGACAGGCATTAATAGGCAAGAGAGAGCTGAGGAGGAAAGTCAGGTGTAGGGGATAGTAGTAATGAGAACTGCAGCAGGCCTATTGGCCCATACGAGGCAGCTCCTATTATAACCACCGAAGGAGATAGTAATAGGAATAAGAAGAGGATAGCAAGGGAGCGTAGAAGACAATGAACAGAAAAAGGGAGAAGAGAGAAAGAAAGGGAAAGAGAAAGAAAGAAATGGAAGGGGGAAAGCTTATGTTAAGTCACGTTTGTTAGAAAGATTAGAGCATTTGAGTATATACTGTGAAAGGGAAGAGTCCACAGCAACAAAGCCAGGACTCAAGTTCATGTTGGGTACATTGTTAATAAGAGCCGATTCTACAAGACGGCGTCTGTGTAGAGTAGAGGCAGGAAAGATTATTTTGGAGGAAGACCAATCAATGGGATGATTAGAATCCCTCACATGGCAGAAGAGAGCATTGTTAGTGTCTGCAGACATAACACTTCTCTTGTGTTCTTTAAGTCTGTCATTCAGTGTACGGCCAGTTTCGCCAAAGTATTGGAGAGGACAAGATGAACAGGAAATAGAGTAGAGTAGACACCAGCAGCATTAGAAGCAGGAGGAGCAGTGTGAACTAGATTGCTACGAAGTGTGTTAGTTTGTCGAAAGGGGAGTTTAATGTCAAGAGGACGAAAGGTATTGGTAAAAGTTTTGAGTTCAGATATGAAGGGAAGGCATAGTACAGTGCTACTAGTGTTGGAAGCAGGTTTAGGGTAAAAGAAATTTCGTTTAGCTTGAGAGTGGGCACAGTTGATGAAATGCAAAGGATAACCAAGGCGAGAGAATGATTTGTAGATAAAGGCAATTTCAGAATCAAGAAACTGAGGGTCGCTGATGCGTAGAGCGCGGAGGAAGAGAGAGACGAGGACACTTTTCTTAACAGAAAGAGGATGGTAGGAAAAGAAGTGAATGTACATGCCACTATGCATGGGTTTACGGTAGACAGAGAAAGAGAACCCAGACACAGAGCTGTGAACATGAACATCAAGAAAAGGAAGGAGGGAATTAGATTCCCACTCAACTTTGAAATGGATAGAAGGAGCCAGATTGTTAAGAGAGGCGAGGAAAGGCTGGAAAAGATTAAGGTCATGAGGCCATAAAGCAAAAATGTCATCAACATAGCGAAGCCAGAGAGAGGGACGAGTATCAATAGAAGAAGAACAGTTTCGAAGTATTCCATGTAGAAATTAGCAAGAAACATGTATTAAAAACATGTATTTTCATACACATTAACTAAAAAACAAAGGGAATATTGTCTTAAAATCGAAAAGATATTTATTGTTTCATTTAATTTTGTTTTATTAATCAAATAATTTATACATTAAACAATGTTTAATTTTGTGTTTATATAGCATAAACAAATATTAGTGTATAGTATATAAACAAATATTGTATATAGTATAAACTTATATTACAGAAATTCTCATTTTATAATTCACTTTGTAACATTTCACTTTTGCATAAATTGAAAAAAAAATCATAAATAATTGAATAATATAAATCATAATACTGTATAAATCAGTATCAGTGCCCTCAAATTGTTGTTGTACTACTATTGGCACATTAGACTTCGAGCAATTTGCCCAACAATTCTTACACAACAGTGCACATGGGTTGCCAGCATTTTTTTGCAACTACAACATGACTGGTATTCTGCTTTACAGTTGCAGCAAACCAACTCTCTGCAACTGTCCCATATTGCTACAAGAAATGTCCACATTGGTGTCCACATACCATCGGTTTTATCATACTCCTCTCAGAAGGTGAGGGGGTAAGACAGGATTTTGAATATGAAAATGTCCCCATACATAGCCACCCCGATATGCAGCGCATTATGTTTTTTCCAAAGCAGCTGGTTAGAGGAACATTTTTGAGCAGTTGGCCTTTTGCTGAAAATAGCATTTTCCTGGTTTCATTGATGGACATGCTAGTACACTCTGTACTGTAAAGCAGAAAAACATAAGTTTCACATTTCTGCTGACGTTCTGTGATTAGATATTCCACTACATATGCAAGTGCATAAAATGAGCATACAGGAAATGAGTTTGTAGCATCATTAAATTTTTGTCAGCAATTCCAGGCACTTAGTTTGCCAATATCAGAAAATTATGATATGTCACATCCAGTGAAAGCATGGAAACCTCTTAACCACTGTGCTGCACGACCCAACATTTTGTGGGGTGTGGTGGTGTGCCACCTGACATATGTTCAATGTTAGTACTGTATATTGTAAGATTAAAAACTAACATGCGGTAGGTTGGGCACCAGATGGAGGCATCCAGTGAGTGTTCGGCCATCTTAAAAAAAAATTAAAAAAAGCATGCCCCAGAGTCGCAGATAGGCTCAGTTTTGAGTGAGCAATCATGGCCGACACACACACGGTTCTAGCTCCCAGTCTCCCATGGGAAACGGTGGTAAAAAATCACTGTCTGAAGCCGAAATTCAGAACATATTGTTTCAAAATGATCGAGGCAGTAATGTTGATGAACGTAGGCATGAAAAAGACCTTGCACAAGTATTGGATGCAAGTGATACAGACACAAATGAAAAGGATATTGGAAGCATGCCTAGAACAGGGCTAACGTCACACCTGCTGTGGCAGCCCAGGTCATTTCCCTTGCCAGTATTATTACCACCTGTGATAATACTGGCCAGGGTAAGTATTATTCAAGTCCAAGTCCCCTTTTGTCCTGGGTTGATTTCTTTATGATGTCTCCATAGTAGTGTTCTGGATGAAATCAGCTCTTTCTAGGGTTGACAGTTTCTTTTGCAATATACTGCTGAAACTCACTTCTGCAGTATTCTCCAAACATTTCAGATGTCCTTGGAGGAAGGCTTTGAGAATCTTGTGTCTAGATCTGTTATTACTGTATCTTCTTCTTCTTCAATTTAAAAGGGCTTAAAAACTTACATTGTGGTTCTGTGACAAGTGTTCTTCAATGAATGTATGAAAGAGGTTTCTTCCATCTTTACATGTTGATGATTCCAAGGATCAACATCCCCGCAGCCATCCTGATTAGTGATCATCTTCAAGCTTTTGAAGAACTTCCACTATCAGAATTTGCAACAAGATGTGTATGAAAAGAAGATAGATCACTGCTCAGTTCTTCAAA